AACAGCTGGAAACCATCGGAAAATGAATCTTGTTCTGGTGCGTCCATTTCTACACCAGCCTCAGTAGCATTTGAACGTACTAGGCTGTTCAATCCTCGACATTCAACATTGAGACGAACCGGTGGTAAGAGAAAAGCATCTCAGCGTTCTGGTCGAACATGGACGGCGCAAATGTTCTGCCTGGCTAATCGCCAGCAAAAAATATTCCGAATGCAGATGTTAAGCAGATTTTACTGATGAAGTGGCCAACGGTAAGACTTCAGGCTCCCCACAGCTTAAAGAAGTTGGTGGGTTTGAGCTTTTGCAGTATCAATTAAACTGTCGACAACTAACCATGAGTAGCTGCCGTTGGGCTGTAAGACCTGAAAGCCAATATCGGAACGCAGTCTAAAATAAATGCCAGGCCTATTCAAGCAAACCTCTCCACAAAGCCAATTAAGGCGGAAAAGAAAGTTCAAGTGACAGAAACTTGCAATGGGTGCCATCAAGAATTCCCCATGAATCAGTTACGGAGCCATTCTTAACACACGTAAAGCAGAAATATTAGATTCAAGTTTCGATTCAGACTTGAATGGCGACAACTTTTTGCAACAAAATCCTGTTCATAGTGCTACTCCATTATCTCACGAAATTAATGAAGATCCATCCGTCACCATTGCAGCAAATGATGAGCAACACAATGCTGATGAAGTCATTTTAACAGATACTACTTCCCTATTCACTTCAGATAACATTGCCACAGACACACTAGTACAAAATGCCCTTGTGGTTGTGATGACCGAAAGAAACACTCCTAAAGTCCCACTTCTGTCTTGAAATTGACAGAATTACTGAACCTCTAAGAGCAGTGACTCAAAGTCAAGAAAAAACTGATACCAATTCAATTATTGAGAACATTTTTGAATACTACAAGGAACATGCTATTTCTACTACTTAAGAAGTTGTGCGTCTAATGCAGTCAAAAATTGTTAGAATGAGAAACCTGGAAATTGAACAAGAGGACCCAAGTCTAGAGGGTGCAGCAAACTACATTTTAGTCGACCGTTGCAAACATTCTCAGAACAGGTATGGATGAAATTAATGGTATTGAAGATTTGTTTCTTACACTTGATGTCAAGTTTTATGGAGAGGTAATCTCATATTATGTGTCATTATTCAAATAGATTTTTCTGTAAAAGCATACTGTCAAAAAGATGATACTGGGGAGAAACGATTAATATTTTGCCTTTCAGGGCTGAGTATATTAATGGAAAGCTGCCGCAAATATTGTCGGAGGATGTCATCCATGAAATTTTTGTAAATGAAAATATAAGGGAATGTTTCAAAAATCTTATTAGACGATTAGAGAAACTTGGTATACTTTTGCAATAAAATATATTTCCTTGTGAGTTATTAAAACAAAATTAGACTCTACGACATGTTTTTATCCTAGATGTTTTGCAAAATTTCATCATTGGCGGAGATTTTCAGGTCAAATCCTTTTACTGTCATAACACTGAGAAAACTAAGTTCACTTCTTGTGCCGGAATTTCCTCTTATGGACTACAATCAACGAAGCTACGAAGCAAATGTTTTTACTCTTTATTGCATATATATGAGAGAAGTTGCTGGTAGGTTCTTTGATTGTCCGCATTTTTTATTAGATTTATAAATAACTATTGACACTTCCTTTTCTTTCTTGCAGCTGGTCGTCGTGGAGATGTAAAACTTGAAAGCAAATTGCAGTTTGCAACTGCGAAAGATGAAGAACCTCTATTGGGTTTTAAGTTGTCTTCTAAAATACGATTTTTGTGAAGTTACCAACTCATTTTTGCCAGTTGCAAACACATGTATCACTGTAATGACACTTCACTATGCTTCAAACAGTTTCCAGCTGATGATGTCTTGTTTGGTTTATACGATGAAGCTTTTTCATTTGAATATTTTGGAATATTTAGATTTTCAAAACAAACCCTGCATTATAAGAAAAGGAACTGCAAAAGATACATATCGGTTGTGGGAGGCATATTCAAGTTTTTATATTATGAGTTATAATCATAACTGTTTACATTAGAGAGTGATTTAAGTGTCAAGAAAAATGATTTGCTTAGTTTTCTGAATTTCTTTCGATAACTTCCAAATTAAGTTTATACTGTTCAATTCCATAGTTATCAGCATTTCATGGGACTTCCTGAAGTTCAACAAGGTCTACAGTAAGGTCTAATGTTGGTGGAGAAAAAAATAGGCCTACCCTCTTCATTTTCATTATTACTAGTATCATCAATTTCCTCTTCAGTGCCGTATTGTTGCACATCATCAACCAGTATATCAAGGCCTGTTGGATTTTGCACTTGACCGGCCATCCATAAACTTCGTGGACTTGTCTTCGTGGTTGTCATGTGATGGTTGGACCTTTTCCAAATTATAAGTTTTTTATTTATGTTATTCATGTATGTGTAGCGCAATGCAGCGATGTGTTTCAGTGTTTGCTCTTTAGTAGATCAAGGAGACCTTGATCCTCCATAAAATAAAACAAATAGTAGGAGAATCTAAGAACTCCCTAAAACACATCTCTCCAAAGTCACTCGATCCCTTGGTTATGTGTACTTCGACCTGTAATTATATTTCCTCTATTGCTTCCTCTTTTCAATCATGTTGTCTGCAATTCTGACATTTACTAGACCCTACAAAGTTTCATACAATGAAGTTTGCACTTAACGAATTTTTATATAATGAAGTTTGGACAGCTTATAATGAAGTTTGGACACCATATAATGACGTTTGGACCGCATATAATTTGGTTTCGACCGCATGTATTATTCTCTCAAGTTCAAATAATTTCGTTTCAACCAAATATAACTAAAAGAATTATAATGTCATGAAAACTGATCACTTAAGAGAGCTAAGGCTATCCATACAAAAGAAAGGGATGCTAAGACTGGAGGAAACTGATCCTTGGATACCATTGATAAAACAGGCAAAAAACAAAGTAATGTCGATTTTGATGAAATGAAAGAAAGCTTTTTGAACAGAGATCTGGATGAGCAGACAGCTGAAGATCAAGCGTATTCTATCATCCTACTAAAACTTAAAAAAAACTGGAAAATGTTTATATTTAACGTCGTATGTGAATAAATTATAACAAGCTCAACGGTTAAAAGAGGAAGACCATGCAAAACTTAATATTTGAAAAAATACTTGGTATTTGGAGTCATATGTTCTTACCTATTGTCGAAGTTGTACGAAGAGTCTAAGAGAAAGATCATCGTGTGATGGAATAAATTATCTTATTTAGCACGAATATAATTAAACAAAATGTGCGCGTTGCATTGTGGTTGGCAATGATTCTTTAATTTCGTAAGAGCACAATAGTCATTACACATTCAAAATACACGACAAATTTCTTTAGAGCAAACATGTCTTGGCATTACTTTATGCCATCTTCAGTGCGAAGTGAATCAATATAGGAAGTTAACACGATAATATGTTATAGTGATAAAGCGGAAATATTGAATCGTTATGAATAATTATTTACAGTTGATTAAGATGTTATATAATGTTTGTGTTAGGTTTTATAAAAGAAAAGAAAAAAACTGCATAGAAAATAGATAAAAATGATAAGTCATATTTTCTATTTACAGGTCGCAGATAGTGTTAAGATGTTGTATATGTTTGTTGAGGTAAAGTTTAAATATCAACGATAATTGAATACTAATTATAATGAATAAATCACTTATCGTTGCTCATTTTCTATAAAAAATAACACAAAAGAAGCTTAAGTCTCATTTAAATTTGGTGAACATAAAAATTTGAACGCTAGAACTTACTTTGCTTTAAATAAAAATAAAAGAGGACAGAAAAAATGGCGACAAGAAAAACCACGCCCACAACAGTGCCAGTAATAAAACCGATGCTTGTTGTATGATCATATCTTTTCAAGCTTTTTGTATTTTTGGAGGCACCTTCAAGAAACAGGTGTCAAATTATGCTTTAAAGAAGAGTTTTTGGTAGCTCCACTACATTTAAAGAAGAAATAATTCAAATACCAGACCAATAAATAATGTAAAACAGTTGAAACTCAAAATAAAACATTTCTAATATGTAAAAAATATACTTTGTTCTGCTCTAGATTAAAGAAGCAACTTTGCAAATTTATTAATGCTTTGTCTGCCATTGTTTTTAACACAAGCGGATAAAGTATACACAAAAAACGTAAGTACACTGTCCTAACATTTTTATTAGGCTAGTCGTACAAGTGCCTGTACAATCACTTAAACGTCAAAATTTAATGATTAATTTTGATTCTGCAATATATTTATAACCATGCTGTACTCCAAACATCTTTTATGAACTCATTGACAAGCTCTTCACCACCCCTCCCTCCAAAAAAAAATAGAAAAAGTTACAGTTTGTTGTGGCAGAGTACAATTTATTAGTTGACAACGTTTTTCGCGAAAAAAATGATCTGGAAACTAGAATAAAATTATTCAAAAGAAAAGATTCCTTTTTTTTCTAATTCTTTTGCCATTACACACTTTTCAAGGAATTTATGTTATTTTAAAATACAACCAGACTGCCATCAAATGAAAAGAAAATTTATTAAGTTTTGTGACAATTGTCCCAAAACCCATATTTTGAGATGGTTTAAGTGATCAATTAAATTTTATACAACTCAATTGTATAATTTGCTGTTGGTACTTAATTGAAATAGAGAGTCAGTGAGAATCGTATATTAAATTCAGTAAGATAAAAATTCTATGAAACAATATTCAAGAAAACTTTTCATTTCACAAACTATATTACTTAAAACACTCAACGCTGACATAATACACAAAAAAACGGCATTAAACGTGATCTGAAAACTAGAACAGCAACTCAACAAATATTATTTGCTGTTGGTACTTTAACTAAAGAGTCGGTGTTGCTCGTATTTCAAATTCAGTATGATAAAAATTCCTTGAAACAATTTCACTCCAGAAAACATTTCACTTCACAAACTTTATTTAAAATAACAGTAATATTCAATTCAAGCACAACTGGAAACTAAAGCAACAGCAATTCGATCAACAGTTCTTTTTTCTTCGCAATATGTTTTTAGCATTATGAACATAGTATACTTTGGTAGCTATACTTTAAACTATGGGCTGAACATTAGCAAAACGCAAAAAAGTAAACTCGAAAAACTCAGTTACCGTTTGTAGATGCAAAGACACTTGATTGCGGATTAGTTGTCGGTGAGAGGGCCTCAATGGAACCTAGTATAAAAGAATTTGCTTTCATAATATTCATTCTAGAACTATTCTAATTCAGGGGCTGGTTTACAAAGCCTGCATAGCGTTATTCAATGGATAGCAAAATATTTCAAACTTGTAGAAATGGTGTTGGTATTTCTGTCGCGACAAAAAAATTCGGTAATCTTAGAAACAATATTTTATTTCAGTGATTGAACTGTTAAAATCGTATAATTTTCTTTCATAAGAGATTTTTTAAAAGTTTAAAAAAATTTGCTATCCAATGCAAAGCTATTCGGCCTTCGTGCAACCGGCCTCTTTTGTTTTCATAATACATCATGATTGCCTTCAAATGAACATCATATTTTTGTTAACTTTAACTAATTAAAAATTTGAATTAGCTTATAATCTCCTCTTTTAGATTGAAATAATTTATTTTTAATAAGCAACTTTGACAACATTATCATGTAATGTAGCTACATTTTATATATCAGAAAAACCACACGGACTACGGAAGCAAGCCAATGTTGACGATATTCTGATTTGGTAAAAATTCTTTAGAAAATGTTCTAGAAAACCTTTTACCTTGTGGACTTATAATTACTTTAAACAATAATTTTCACTGCAAGTAACAAACAAAAAAGAATGCACACTACAATTCGACACTGCAAAACGGAAAATACAAAGAATTGATAAAGATACCGTTTTTAGTAGAAGATATGTTGAATGGCATATCAGCTGAAATTCTTGTCATCGAGAAACATGATGTGGGAACTAAAACAGAAGCATAGGTAAACATGATAAGATTTAATTTTGGAATTCTTTTTGCTTTGGAACTTTATGCATACTTTTAAAATTGTTTGCTCTAATTATTTTTATTATAAAAAAAAATCGTGTTGCCATCACATGCAAGGACAAAAAAATGAGTTTTGTGACAGTTATCGCAATGACACGATACTTCAAGCTAGCTCAAGAAACTACTCAATTAAAATTCATAATTGTGAATTTTATATTGAAGAATTAAGCAAATTTGACAATATAATTTTATCATTTGTTTTTGGTGCTTAAAACTAATTGGCTGGTGATATTCGCATATTTTATTTTAAGAAAAATTCTTAAAACAATGTTTAAGAAAACCTTGTTTCACGAACTTTATTACCTAAAACAATCATATAAATGCAAGCACAAACAAAAAATGCACAGTTTAACGATGAAAAACGCTGAAAAAAACATTAGGAAGTTACTATTTCTAGAAGTAGAATTTCTGGGTAGCTTTAAATTTGAAAATTCTGTCGGCATTAAACGTGATCTAGAAGCTAGAACAAAAGCAAAAATTTTTTTTAATTCGAAATATCTTTGTATCATTTTGAAGATGCCATACTTTAAACCATGGGTCTGAACAATTAATCTGATCATATCTTGCAAAAAAGTTGTTTTGTTGAGATTTTAACAAACTAATTCAACCATTTTACTGAATGAGAACAACATGTGCTAATCAAATTTATTATTTGATACATCATAACATTTTGCCACAATAATTTACATTCAAAGATAGCGTCTATGCATGAAGAAGGACCAAACCACAAAACAATGAACCTAATGAATAAAATCAAAGCTTACCAGCGATATACACATTGATACTACTCGAATAGCGTCTCGTTATGGTATAAATGTTTAGTGTATATTTTCCATTATATAAGCTGTCCATATTTCTTAATTCTATAGTTAATGGTTTATAAACATGAACTTTTAGATGGGCTTGATGATGATAATATACACTTCCGCTGTTATCATGTATTTCTGCAAGTTCTCTGCCGAAAGAGGAGCCATTGGGAGTGAACAGCCACACCCGTTGTGTTATGGGGGACGAAACTTTAAACTTCCATGTTATGTTTATCGAAGTTCCCCGTCGAAAGAAAAATGTATTGTCCTTATTTTGAACTACTATATTTCCTATAAATAGAAGAGTATTTTTTGCATCAGAAGTCATTGAAGATTCAAGAAAATTAAAATTATATGAGTTATAATACCTTTGCGAAGAGAAATAAAAATTGTAAAAAAAACAATTCCAGATGCAGCTTTCATTGTTCTTCCTAAAACGATATAGTTTTTGCTCAAAATTATATGTAGCATTTCAAGTATCTTTTGAAAAAAAGCTTTTTGCATAAAAATCAAACCAAACTAGCTAAATAGTTTTGATTTAAATCAAATATTGCCATGATTGAAGGCTCTAACGGTCTATATTGCTTGAACGGTCTGGTGTTAATAATCTTATTTGATTTGAATAATCCTGGACATAATTGCAGTCATTTCTATTATTACTCATTGGCTACAATACCATTGTTTTTTTTTCGAGTGTAGACATTTTACAAGAGGTTTTTTTTGCCTACAATCTTAACTACTAGGTTTCAGCCACATATGAGTTAATGTAATCAAAAACAATTTAAATTTTCCTGAATTTGTTTATCAGGATCCAAGTAAGTGTGGTAATCTTTATGAATTGGAAGAAGGTCAGTAAGTATACATCCTGCACAACATGCGTTGATCTTTCGCAAACTGCACACTTTGAAACTGTTGCCTCGTCACCTCTAAAATTCTTACACTTCTTAATTAATTTATTTTTGCCAAAGCTTTGGAATTATAAGCACTATATATTTTAATTTCAGATTATTTCTCACCAACATTGCGCGTTTTCATAGTTTATTACATTAGAGTCCCGAGTGTTTCAAACATTCCTCGGATGTAAAATATACAATTAAACATATATATTATGAAAAGTATAACACTTTTCTAATAAACTAAGAAAATATAAACAGATATAGCGATTTAACTGTGCAAAGTGCTTACAGAAAATATGTTGGAAATAATCTTCCTTGGTTTAGTACTCTTTTGTCGAGTTTTTTTTTGTAAATATTTGGCTGCGAGAAATGTTAAAATAATGTATCAATGAAAAGCAGTTACTTGCCTGGTTTTTGAATTTATGAATTGGTTCTAATAATCTCCTCTTATAATGTGGTGAAGATTTACTGAGAATTGATTATTCTTCAATTAGAAAATATATAGTGACATAAGCAAACAACTCTTGATGTTTTATAGTTAGCTTGTTCAAGCAAACTTAACTTTCGCGGAATTTAATTTATATTGGCATCGCATCATTCGTATTTTGAAAAACATTGTCCGTTTTATACTTATCACATAGAAATTTTTCTTCTCAAAGATATGATACTAAGAGATATGCATATGGTGATAGACTTTGACGCTGTTTAAAATAAACTTTTAAAACGATATGAGATCGACGTTGTGCATAGCACATGATATCAAGAAATATTTATATTCAGAAAAAATTTAATTGTAAATCTACAGTTACGTTATGTCATGCCTTGATCATTATAACTGGAACTGCGATATGTGTATGCTTTTTCTTTTATTCTAGAAACAGGTAAATGCTTGTATTAATGCTATGTATGAAGTTAAAAGTCCTGGTTGTGAAAATACTTGTATGGACTAAAATACCTTGTAAAGTGTTACGTGAAATGAGTAAAAATGCGGTTGACAAATATTTTTGCAATTGCTGACCTTCCACCTTTTTGAATACAAGTAAATGTAATGCAGTGAATGTATTTGACGTATGCTAAAATTTCATAGCAAGAACTTCCCGTAAAACTGTGCACAAAATACAACTCAAACGTTTGACTCTTTCTCTTAGCGGCTAGCACTCGGTATACATCAGTATTCTACAGTTGTAAGACAACGAAAGCTTTCGGTAGAAATTCGTCACTTTATCTGCTGTTTGTATATGATTTGTAGGTTTTTGCCGTATATGCAAGCTGTGCATGTAAAAATTTATGTGGGCAGGAAATTTAGACGAAAGAGTAGTTGCAAATTTAAATTATAAGTAACTATGCAAACTAGGCTTTAAAGACAGTATTATAACAGTAAACGCACAGAAAAAAACAAACGTTTTAGTGACAACAACTGCAGAAATTAAACGACTGAAAGTTTGATAGATTCAGAAAATAATTCGACAAGTCAAGGCCAACTGAACAACTATGTCGTATCAAAGATAGTTTGATAAAAGACTATTCAGCTCAAACTAAGTAAAAATGCGGCGAAATTGATAAAATATGTTTTAATTAAAATACAAAGAAAAAGAGACCTTACTTTCTACTTTCGGTAACTCCTCCAAGATCTTGTTTCCAAATAATGGCAACAAAGATTCGACATGCTTTTATATATGAAAGTCATATTTACTTTACACTTGATACTTTCATTTGTGAGACGGGGAGTTGAAGTTTTAGACGTTTTCGTGACATTTAAAGAATATTTCTTCTTTAATAGCAATCAACGTTTTTCGCTTTTACAAACAAACATGCAGGAGCTGTCGACAGCATAAAGATAAAACTTAACAATTATATCTTTTTTAAGTCGGCAAAAATAAGATGTATTTTCTTGTTTATTCTTATTTGCATGCACATCTGAGAATTAGTACAGCATTTTTCATGATAAATCGCGTTAGTTTGTTTTACGACAGACACGTGGCAAGGTCGTTGATGGAAGAGGGGGAGGGAGGAATATCTATAAACTGACGCATTTTAAGTTTCTCTGAAATCTATTGCTTGTTACAAACATTATAACAACATGCATATACAAATATAGCCTTCCCCATAAAAACATTGAGCTTGCAAAATTTAGAAGGTAATATGTAGCTACATTCGACCAGCTTTAAAGCTGACTATTTAGAGATTCCTGACAGACACAGCGTTTAAAAATGAATTTAATCTACAGCGACTGCGTTCAGTTTGTTCATTTTTGTTTTCCTCCTACTATGTCCTTATAGTTACACTACACTTTTTCAATACAGCTCTTTATGCATAATTGCGAAAACTTGTAACGATAGCTTTTTACGCTTTGAAAAAATGCTCATATTACAAAATTATCAAAGATATCTGACAATCCCAAACACCTTGGAAATTTTCTTACCCCAACAGGCGGCACGAGTTAAACTTTGCAATAGTAACATGATAGGTCTAATGTTCTCTTTACAAAATGTTTTCATTTTGTAGCACAGCGATAACGTTGTTTTTGTTGCTCAAAAATTTTGTAGAATATAATTGTCACGTCAATTTGAGATGTCAAGACTTTAAACTTCCAGTTATGAAACATTAGAAATAGCTTTGTCAAAAACAAATTGGCGGTACTTCTTCTTAGAAACGCCCCAATTTCAAACATCTCAACTTTCGTTATCTCAAGTTGTGTATAGGCAAGAATAGTTTTGCTAAATATCAGTTAATTCGTATAGATTCCATCACAAAGAACATGTAGAGCGATAGCTCTTTAATTTTATATGCACACTCAGGGAAACAAAAGTAATTTTGACTATAAAACTTAAGCTTAGATATGATATCTATAATGTGGGTGACTAGCGGGCATTAGGCGACCCATAAATTGTTATCTTACTTAAAATCAAAGAATCATTATTTTTTGCGCTCGTGAAATATTACAAAGAGTTAAATTTTCACCATACACTACCCGAAAACGGATATTAAAAGCGAACTAAACGTTAGTTACAGGGATGTTTTGGGTCCCTTAATACACGCTATATACTTTGTCTTTCTTCGTTGCAACTTATGGACAACTTAATGGACAACATGATTACGTTTTGGTGGCTGTTATAACTCAGTTAATACAACTTTGATTTCACAAAGCTTTTGCTTAATAGGTTGAAACTCAGCGTACGACAGTACTTTTGACTTGTCTTGCTTTAACTATACTGTTGTAAAAACACTATGAAATTCTAAGGGCGCAGCACAGTGAAGTTTCTAAACTGTTGTGACTTTCGATTACAAATAACACTTTTATGCATGATAATTTCAGCAAATAGATGAATAATTTATGTAGTTCTGTTTCTTAGGGCATACTTTTTACTGGGGAGTGACTAGTTTCTAGTGTAATTTTTTCCGGTCTCAACAAAAAACCTATAAATCAACTTTCAAGTAAAATCTAAGATTTTAAAACTTTCTTTGAAAGAAATTTTAGCATAGGCTAATCTCAAAACACAAAAAAAATAATAGAGGTTCTTCATACTTTATAAGAAATTAACAGCTGGGAGGTGAAATTCGACATATTAGGCTATAATGAACATGACCTTGTAAAAGTAAATATATTTATTTAATAGTTTCCTTTGTAGATAAAGTGCGCGTGGCGTTTATAGAATATTTTCTTTGTAGACACATTACAGTTATCGGATACGAAAATTGTTATTTGACTTTGACGAACAGCTAAATAATTACATATTTTTACTTTAATTGCGTTTATAAGATAGAACTAGAAATTAAGATTTAAGAATATCACCTGTCATGACCACTGATCTGATAATAGACTGGATATAGCTTCTATAGGTAGCAAAAGTGAAGCCTAATTATATATGCAAAATGCACTTCCGGGTACCACAAGAAATACAAATTTCTATAGAAATGTATGGCGGATAACGTTTACATACAAGGATTTTCGAATATTTAAGGCATTTCGTGACCTTTTACTAATCTCAAACATCTGTCATGTATGAAACAAGTTATGTTAATCAATTTGACATCAAAATGATACCAATATCTGCAAAATATCGGCGTTCGTGTTCATTTGAAAATTGCGCGTGCAAGAATCGAATTTGCCCCATCGTTGCAAAGGCAAGATAATTCACAGCTCATTTTCCAAGTTCAGAGGCAGTTATGATCTAGAATGAGTTTCGATGCTTAAAAAATTCGTTTAGTACCTTTCTTTTATCATTCTTTATTATCTAGACATTGTTTTACGTAACTTTTGCCGTGACTTCATTAGCTGGGTACTGTTGTTGTAGGAACAAGACAAATTTACTAAGCTTTCTTCCTCTCTTTATTCTTATTTTCATTTCTGTTTTTATTTTATAAAAATAATACAATCACCACACCTTGCTGTAGCATTTGTATATAGCCATGAGTAAGTATGGTTGTTATTGACGAAAATATCCAACATTTTTATCAATTGCAGTCTATACCGTAGCATCAGGAATTGTATTCCCATGTGGTAAACTGCCATCTGAAGTTAAAAGCACCTTTCTGTTTTATTGCATACTTGAATAACAATAGCTGTTGGTTTGAATCAAAGTACTCATGTCTTTTAAAGACAGGAAAGCAGATTCACTTTAATAATTTTTTTCAACCAACAGCTTCTTAACAAGTAGGGCAGGCGGTTTTCTTTGGCAGCATCTGCCTATAAAATTAGCCATGTATGGTATTGCAATCACTTTAAATTCTG